AAGAAACTTTAAAGTGGCTTTAAAATTTCTCAAAATAAAGCACATACTTACAATAGTTAGTTTTAATTTAAATTTAGTCACTGGGAGCGTGTTTGATTTTAGATTCAAAGTCATCAAATAAGTCTATCTTCACTTTATGTCGTCCATCTGTTTTAGCATAAACATGACAGTTGTAATACCAAGCAGACGCTATATAAGATTGAGTTTTAAGATGCTTAATCAGGTCCATATTCTTCTTTGTCACGTCATGATAAACTGGAATATCCGAGTTGAAAAACGATTTCCGATATTTCATAATATTCTCTTTAATCTCAGTGTTTTTGACTTTTAGAATGATAGGTTTTGGTTTGTTTGCATATTTTGATTGAAGGGGGTGAATAGCTATAATGTCAGATTTGTTTAATTTAAATTCATTGTTAGAAACGTCTTTGATAATTTCAATAATTTTATCCGCTAAACACATATTTTCACCACACTTTATATTCAGAAACTTCAGATTAGTTTTTCGTGAATACTGTTCGTTGTAATTGCTTATTCTCAATGATTCTTTTACACCTTCATTGCAATCATAAAGTTTAAAGTTTAAATCACTCACTTGTTTCTTTAATTGTTCATTTTTCTTAATAAGGACATTATTTTGCGAAGCTATTTTCTCGAGTTTGTCTTCCAGTTTGTCTTCGATTTTCTGGAATTCTATGGTGATTCCTTTTCGAATTTGATGAAGTACGCTTTCTGTTATCTTTCCTATCATATCCGACATGTCATCTTTTGTCATCATGGAGTTCAGTTTTTCTGATAGTAGAGCATGTGTTTCAAGTAAGTTTTGAACATCAGCTTCCAGGTTTCCATTTTCTGATTTATTAGAGCCTTCTCTTTGTCGTTTTTGCGGGCGGTTTTTGTCGATATTTTTGTTGGTATTTTGGAGCCTCCCTTTTCAGTTGACATGTTGATTGTTTATTTGGATAGAGCAGGTCAGGTAAAATGTTGTCACTGACAGCTTGTCACCCCTTTGATCTTGATCTATATTTAGTATCAATCTACTATCTTGGGTGTTAAAACATACAAATGTCTAAAAAGCTGTAGTATTCACCTTTTTACACTGCAGTTTTCAATTATATATTTTCCTTGCTTAAGATATATCCTCTCATCCTATTAAATACGTTTTCACATTTATATATTTGAAGTTATTTGGAAGAAACTTCAGACAACCTGCAGACAACTTTCACCCGTCAGCCATCTTGACTCGGATATGTATGATATTCTGCACAGACCTAAAAATGAAAATATTTGCGTTATAGGACAAAGAAGATCTTCCGTTTAATAACAATTGCAGTAACTGTTCAAAGTAAGTATACAAGAGCACCTAACTTTCGAAATATTCAATATGTTGTCTTGTATACATGGGACATTGAAGAAGGTAGTGGTATACAGATTCAACTGAGGTCTTACAGTCACAGATTACATTTAAATAGGTCGTTTTTATACGCCCACATAGAAATGTCCGTTCGTCCACATTTCTTGTATGCTCGATAGAGGCTTCAGCTTTTATCTGATCTTGATGAAACTTGGTATACATGTATATATTGATGAGATCTCGGTCAAGTTCGAAATTGGTAATAATCGGAAGAAAGGTTTCAGAGTTAAATGGGAGCCGTGGTGGCTCAGTGAGTTAGACGCTTGCTCGCTAACCTAAAGGTCCAAGGTTCAATCCCGGCATAGATCGAGATAAGATCCCTCGACAGTTGGAAATCGAAAAAGAGCAGGCGAATGCCGCTGTCCTGGCAAAATTTCCCTCATTGCACCCAGCATGGCCACATGGCCCACATGTTGCAGAAAAGTAGGACGTAACACTCCATTCATTTCATTTCATTTGACTTAGTAAAAACGCGTTAAATTTGGCTAAATGAAGGCTAAAATTTTTATCGGATCTTGATAGCTTGCAGATATTGATAAGACCTCAGCCAAGTTCGAAATTTGTAATAATCTTATGAATGATTTCAGGGTAATTGCCCTTGACTTAATAAAAACACGTCAAATTTGGCTTGTAGACACAATATAAACTACAGTTTTTATCCAATCTTGATTAAACTTGGTATGCATGTATATGTCACAGTAGAAACTAAAATCTAGGAGAATTTAAAATCTCCCTAGGACAAGGTGTCCTAGTACAAACTCCAATTAGAGTTTCTCCTAGACAAATTGAATAATCTTCACCCCAAAAAGTAATTAAAGAGGGTAACAGATTAGAAACTGATCTATTCTGTAAAGAAACAGCTAGCCACCACTATCTACCACCTGCCATCCTAGACATACTTTTAAATCAATACCTTTCAGTGGTGCACTCAGAATACGACATTAGACATAACAAACATAGGAGCAACATTAAATTGATAAAGGTTCATAAAGCTCCTCATATTGCCCCCCATTTTAACCAACCTGGTCATAATTATAAATGCACACTTCTTGAGAAAATTCCAAATGAAAGCAAAAGCAAATTAGACAGTTCAGAAACTCTGTGGATTCATAGACTTGACTCTGTATGGCCGTATGGATTGAATGAATTTAACCCAGGAGGTTTCAAAATTGCTAAATATTAGTGTATTTCATTTCTTGTGAGCACAATAGAGACTTCAGTTTTCAACTGATTTTAATGAATTTTGGTGTGATCATTTATATTAATGAGATCTTGATCAAGTTCAAATTTGACGATCTTTCGATGAATGGTTTTTGAGTTATTGCCCTTGACTATTATGTCTAAGCGGTATCGCTATCAGTAAGATTCTTAAGAGCCTTGACAAGTCAAGTCAAATTTAGTAGACTAAAATTAACTAAGTGCCAAGAGGTTGAACTTGACTCCACAATCGAAAGCGACTCTAATCTAATCATACTAACGTCGCGTAATCTGCATGTCATAAAAGCAAGTCAAAGATTCGAGAGTCAAATGATTTTTTTACGAATTTACTCAAACAATAATTACCAATTTGTGTTTTTCTTGACATCAGGGATTCTCCACTCTACTACTCTCTCACTCATGCTGTCTCGGAGTCGCCGGTCCGTTGTTTCCTCACGCTTCATAATTAATGGAATCCATCAGTAACATCAGTTATCAGTTTGTAGTTTTGGTAGTAGGGTGAATTAAGAAGATACAAGTGTGCTTGGATATGTCAGCATTTAAGGTCATCCACGCACATTAATAATGAAAATTAAGAAATCCATTAAAATCCCTTCGACGTCTCTTTGTTTTAATGTGGGACAAAATGGCGGCTTAATGGCAGACTGACCTTGTGTCTTTACAGACGACGATTTGATGGGTTGGATACATTACGTCATACCTTGATTGACAGGTCGGGACTATCTATCACTAAAATCAATTTTAGTTAAAATCAACTAAAATCAAATTTTAAATTAAAACTCATTTTGAAGAACCCCTTTATTTAAGTTCAAATTGAAAGCCCCTGCTAATTTAAAAGAAATTAATGAAGCTGCTATTATCTGTCTTTCAGATGAAGGTAATGGCTATATTTGTGGAACATGTGAAAAATATATTAAAAAAGATAAAATACCACCATGCTCTATAATAAATGGAATGGAATTTACTGCAAAAGCTAAAAATTTAGAATTATATCCGTTAGAATGGCGTTGATTGTCACCAAGGATACCATTTATGAAAATTTATGCTGCTCCTCGTGGCAAACAGTTGAAAATTAGAGGTAATGTTGTCAATGTACCAGTAAATGTAACTGATCCAGTAAAAATGTTGCCTCGGGCAACAGATGAAACAATGACTATTGCTGCTCAATTAAAAAGGCAGCTTAAATATAATCATGCAGTGATGACTGAACATATAAGACCCTATAAAATTAGAGAAGCTGCAGAAAAATGGAAAACTTTATGAAGGTATTGTATTTAATGAAAATTGGCAAAATGAAAATGAATTGAGTGAAACTACTGGATTGATTTCCTCTAAAATTGAATACAGTGAAAATGAAGAATCAATAATTGAAAAAAATAATGATAAATCTAATGATGATTGGAGTGAAGATGAAAATGAAAATGTTGGGAGCAGGAAAGATACCCTTTATACAGCTCCTGACTTTATTGAAAATAATGCAAAAGAAAAGATCCATTCTGGTGAAGGAAATTTTCCCATAAGTATATTTATGGATAAAAATTCTGAGGAATTGGCATTTCCAATTATATTTTATGGATATGCAAGAAAATGTAATGCTGAACGAAAAACTAAAGTTTATTATAGTGAGTTATGTAAATCTGAATTAAGAAGGAAAGATAGGAGAGTTGCTAATTCTCCAGAAAATATATTTTTCAAACTAAAGAAAATACAAATGAAAATTATGATTGGCAATGCGCAAATTGCTGTCAGAAAAAATAAAACACAAGGCAAGAAATTGACTGCAGGGGATATAAGAAACCCTACTGTAATTAATAAATTGATTAATTTTGATGAAGGATATATGATCCTAAAAACTATAAGAGGATCAATTCCTTATTTTAAGAAAGTTAAAAGTGATCTTTTTGCTATGATACGACAGTTGGGTCCAGCAACGTTTTTTTTGTAGCTATTACATCTTAGCAATTAGGTCTTCAGTTACAAGACCAACTGTATTTTTGTAAAGAAATCCAAATGAATTACGTATAAATTCCTATAACGTTTTTTTAATGAAAGGTTGGCAAGCAAATCACGACATTCAATTTGTACTTAATGTTTATGCATTTGCTATGTACATTGCATCTTACATTGCAAAATCACAAAGAGGAATAAGTGATGTATTAAGAAAAGCTTGTCAAGAAGTACGAAATGGCAATTATGGTATAAAAGAACAAGTAAAAATAATTGGAAATAAGTTTTTAAATAATGTTGAAATAAGTGCACAGGGAGCAGTGTACATAATATTGCAATTGCCAATGAGGAAATCGTCAAGAAATTCATTCCCCACCAGAGGAAACAGTGCAACTTCTAAAATCTAAAGATGAATTAAAAAAGCTTGAAGATGGTGATGATGATATTCAATCTGGTAATTTACTTGAAAGATATAAAAATAGAAATTTAAAATTAGAAAAAGTATGCTTAGCAGAATATGTTGCTTATTATTATAGAAAAAATAAATTCATTAAACGTTCATCTAATACAGATGAAAGTGGAATGTTGAAAGAAAATCAGGATGATCATAATTCTGATGACAAATTTGAAGAAACAAATGAAAAAATAAGAAGCACCCCTCGAGTGATCAGATATGTAAGTTTTAATGTTTAATTACAGAGAATTATTAATGTTGTATTCTCCATGGAGAAATGAAGAAATAGATCTTATCAGTAATTGTGAAACTTTTGCTGAAAGATATGACATTGTAAAGGAAAATATTCTAATACTTCAGCAACAATATGAAAATAATAGAGTTGAAGTTGAAGCTGCAATGAATGCAGAAATTGAATCTGAAAGTACCTGGGACGAACAAGCACCAGGTACACAACAAGTAAATAAAGATGATGAGCATGAAGAAAATATTCAAATTGAAAATTTAAAAAAGAAAAGAGAACCATTAAACTTTGAATATGATATAGGTTCTGACCTATAACTGATAAAGATAATGAATTAACGTACTATGAAATGCCTGAAACTGAATATCTTCAGTTGATGAGCTCTTTAAATGAAAAGCAAGTCAGATTTGTTTATGATACCATAAATATAATAACACTTCAGAAACCCAACTATTTAGATTTCTGAGCGGTGGGGCTGGAGTTGGTAAATGTTTTGTAACTATGGCAAATTATCAAAGTTTGTTGAGGTTTTATTCCTCAAAAGCTGGAGATGATTACCAAACTGATAGCTCCTACTGGAAAGGCAGCTTTTAATATTAAAGGAAATACAATTCATAATGCTTTAAAAGTACAAGTAAATCAATCACTGCAATATAAACCTTTAGATTGTAGTAGATTAAACACTTTAAGAGCAACCCTTGGTGGCCTGAAAGTATTATTTATAGAAGAAATATCTATGGTTGGGAATGCAATGTTTAATTTCATTAATAAAAGATTGCAAGACTTAAAAGGATCTTCTTTGCTATTTGGAGGGATTCATGTTATTGCAATTGGGGACCTCTTCCAATTAAAGCCAGTATTTGATGGTTATATATTTGAAGATTTGAATAAAAATTATGGTCCCCTTGCGACTAATCTATGGAAAGACAATTTTGAAATGTTTGAATTAACAGAAATAATGAGGCAAAAAGACAGTAAATTGTTTGCTGAACTTTTGAATAGATTAAGAGAATACAATTATGAAAACGATTTAGAAAAAGAAAAGACATGGAAATTTTAAAAAGTCGAATAATTCATATAAATGAAAATGAATATCCTTATAATGTGCAACATCTTTTTATTAGCAATTTAAAGATGGAAAAATTTAATGCCAGTATATTTGAAAAGATAGCTTGCCAGGCAAGGTAACATACGCCCACTGGCAGCTGTCAGAAATGATTAAACAGTCTTTAGTGACTACAGGGTTGCACAATATAGCTAATAGAGTCAAGTCAGACACGATATTTCGGTGAAATATTATCCGATCATCGCGAAAATCGATAGGGGTCATCTTCATAATGACATTGACATACAAAATAAAAATCAAAAGAATCTGTAAACAATTGTAGCCTGTAAAGTGAGCACGAGTTGCACAATATAGCTAATAGAGTAAAACGTCAGGTCAGACACGATATTTCTCTGAAAAATTATCCGATCATCATGAAAATCGATAGATCATCATGAAAATCAATAGGGATCATCTTCATAACGACATAGACATACAAAATAAAAATCAAAAGAATCTGTAAACAATTGTAGCCTGTAGAGTGAGCACGAGTTGCACAATATAGTTAATAGAGAAAAACGTCAAGTCAGACACGATATTTCGGTGAAAAATTATCCGATCATCACGAAAATCAATAGGGATCATCTTCATAATGACATTGACATACAAAATAAAAAAGAACTGTAGCCTGTAGAGTGAGCACGAGCCAAATGTGAACGGACGGACCGATGGGGTGATTACAATATACGCCCATCTTACTTGTGGGTGTATAAAAATGACTGGTGAAAAATATGTAATAAGAGAGTGTTGTTGACTCTGAAGCCAAAGCTGTTGAAAGGCTTTATTAGAAAATATACCAAGAAAAACAATGCAGCTACATACCCAATTATCTTTAGTTGTTGGTATGAAATGTGAACTGTGTATTAATGTAAGAACTGAAGATGGATTAACAAATGGTGCCAAAAACTCCCATTAAACAGCAAACACAGAAATCTGCAAAAAACAGAAACAGACTCTAAAGTAAATCAAAAAACTAATTCATCTGAATCCTCATCGACACCTGATATAATCATAGAGGATTTGGATACATTATTAAGCAATCTGATATTAACATGTTAAATAGACCTGAATGGGTTAATGATCAAATAATTAACTTTTATTTGAAAATTTTAGAAGAAAATGAAATAAGGCTTGGAAATAATATATTATCTTTGGATACATTTTTCTTTATTAGAATAAATACTAATTTAGAAAATGCCTTAGAAATGTATAGGCCACAAAATCTACTAATGTATGAGAGGATTTTAATACCTATTCATACTGATAATCACTGGAGTTAAATCATTATTTATGTAAATAGTAAAACTATTAAATATTATGATTCCATTTACAGTTTTGTACGTGGACAAAATATAATGTTAAAGGTAAAAGTTTTTCTAGAAAGATTAGATGATAAAACAATGTCTTTTTGGAAAACTATATTTGAAAAGAATATAACTCTACAGCCAAATTCTTTTGATTGTGTGTATGTTTTTGTATGAATTCTGAATTAGAATTAAAACAAAAATCTCCAAAAGTAAGTAAACAATATATAGTGAATTATAGAAATATAATTAAAGATACTATAATCCATGACAGTAATTAATTTTATTTAAACATAAACTCTAATGGCAATGTCTTTATGACTTGACTCTTTACTCCTAATGTCAATGTCTTGATGACTTGACTCCTTACTCCTAATGTCAATGTCTTTATGACTTGGCTCTTTACTCCTAATGTCAATGTCTTGATGACTTGACTCCTTACTCCTAATGTCAATGTCTTTATGACTTGACTCTTTACTCCTAATGTCAATGTCTTGATGACTTGACTCTTTACTCCTAATGTCAATGTCTTGATGACTTGACTCTTTACTCCTAATGTCAATGTCTTGATGACTTGACTCCTTACTCCTAATGTCAATGTCTTTATGACTTGGCTCTTTACTCCTAATGTCAATGTCTTGATGACTTGACTCCTTACTCCTAATGTCAATGTCTTTATGACTTGACTCTTTACTCCTAATGTCAATGTCTTTATGACTTGACTCTTTACTCCTAATGTCAATGTATTGATGACTTGACTCCTTACTCCTAATGTCAATGTCTTGATGACTTGATAATAAGCTATTATGTCATATGACTTGACATTACTAGGTTTATTATATTCCTATATGATGTGTTATGAAAAGTATTTAAAGATTAAAGTCTTTTATTAAATTGAAATACCACAATTTAAAAGTGCCTGAATTTATATTGTTATTTAAAAAGAAAAATGTATTTATAGTATTCAATTTAATTTTGATCTAAGTCTTTTATGCTTGAATCCTACTTATCTTGGTTATTTATACAATATTTTCTTTCTATTTTACATCTAAAATAGATTTGATTAAGTAATTCTATAGAACAAATTATTGCTTGTAATTTGTAAAATTTCATATCTCACAAAAACAATAGCCTAAATCTATGGATTGTTTCTTACTTTTATTAAAAATGGAATTTCTGGCACATGGTTTTTCAATTTAAGAAAAGATTTATATATGATCTATACTTTTATTCTGATGGGAATTTTTGGTTTGGTTTGTATTCTATAATATTTTTTTCACAAAGGATTAATTACTTTGTGGGTAAATTTGTATTGCTTTTGGGGTTATTATTCTTGAATTTGCTGCTATGAACTTAGTATTATCATTTCTGACAACTGCCAGTGGGCATATGTTACCTTGCCTCGCAAACTATCTTACTAAGTTTAGTTGGATTTACCCTCTAGTATCTAAGCATGCAGCTGCAGTGGCAGAGAGACTTGTTCAGACTTTTTGTTTATTTGGATGTCCAAGACTGCTTCACTCTGATAATGAACGATAATTTGTGAACCAGGTTATTGATGAACTAAAGAAGTTGTGGCCAGGGTTGGTGATTTTACAAGGTCGTCCAAGACACCCCCAGTCACAAGGAAATGTTGAGCATGGAAATGGTGACATTCAGAAGAAACTAGGCAAGTGGTTACAAGAACATCCAGATCAAGGTTGGTCTTAGGGACTTCCGTTTGTTAACTATGCTATAGAGCTCCTAGACGCTGAAGGTCTCACAGATGAAGATATGATACCATCAGAATACATTGAACCAGAGGTCTCTCAGGCCACCTGTGTAGCAGACCCAGAACCAGGTCCTTCAACGACACCAGCAGTCGTGGACTAGAACAAGAACTTTACCATCAAGACAGTATTGTGGCCACAGGAATTGAGGTGAGGAACCAAGAAACAGTGCATGGTATAGAAGTTACTGAAGGTCAGTTCACGCTGTGGTCTTTAGCAGAGTCCAACCCCATCTCGCAGCCGCTAGAGTTTTACCTTGCAAAGTTCAGAATACCAAGAAGAGTGGCATCACAACTTGTTATGAACTTTACTGTAATTTTGGCATTCTAAAAGACACTTTCATAGAAATTAGCTGCAGCAGCAGCAGACCTTGATAAAGCAGATCCAAGTGCATTAAAGCCAGTGACACTCATCCAAGCATCCAGGTTGTATAACAATTGGAAAACACAAACTGTATGTTCCTGCAAAGGCAGTTGTGTAACTAATTGTTGTCGGTGTAAACGTGCAGGACTTTCTTGCTCAACCTGTCATACTTCAACTGTTGGTGTGTGTCAAAACAGAGGGTGATGTGATCTATGTGGACTTTTGTATTGTAATGTAATGTGCTAATATTGCTACTAAATGTAATTTTTTAACAATATGAACTTACGCGATTTACATTTACATTGTGATGTTACATTGTGCTTATACATTGTGATGTTACATTGTGCTTATATATTGTGATGTTACATTGTGCTTATATATTGTGCTTATACATTGTGCTTATACATTGTGATGTTACATTGTGATGTTACATTGTGCTTATACATTGTGATGTTACATTGTGCTTATACATTGTGATGTTACATTGTGCTTATACATTGTGATGTTACATTGTGCTTATACATTGTGATGTTACATTGTGCTTATATATTGTGATGTTACATTGTGCTTATACATTGTGCTTATACATTGTGCTTATATATTGTGATGTTACATTGTGCTAATACATTGTGATGTTACATTGTGCTTATATATTGTGATGTTACATTGTGCTTATACATTGTGATGTTACATTGTGCTTATACATTGTGATGTTACATTGTGCTTATACATTGTGATGTTACATTGTGCTTATATATTGTGATGTTACATTGTGCTTATACATTGTGATGTTACATTGTGCTTATACATTGTGATGTTACAATGTGCTTATATATTGTGATGTTACATTGTGCTTATACATTGTGATGTTACATTGTGCTTATACATTGTGATGTTACATTGTGCTTATATATTGTGATGTTACATTGTGCTTATGAGCTATTATGTGCTTATATATTGTGATGTTAAGTTTTTATTTTATGCCAGAATTTAGTGATATTTATTATGTTTTATATATGAATAAAGTGCCTTTTTAAATATTTGTTATTCATTTTTCAATATAATACAAAATGAAAATATTACAAGACAAGACAAACAACAGTCCTAGTTAAATTACAATTTCAGTTAACCCTATATAAAACAAAATAAAATTTGGATTTGTCCTAGTGTTGTATAGTCAATTCATGTGTCATATTATGGCATGTATTTCCTTCCATACATTGTTATGTAAACTCTAGTTAGAGTGATCTCCCTTTGTTGTTAGAGTGTAGACCAAGAAGAGAAAACCACGTTTATTTTGAAACTGCCTTTTGTTATGCTTTTTTCCCATCTTACAAGTACAAATACTATTCAATTATGTATCGAAAGTCCCGATACAACATATGGCGACGATGGATGCTGATTTAGAATGCACGTTTGGCCAAGATTCATTAAAAGGTGAACTGAAATTTTCTTCCTGTTTATACTAGGTATAGGCGTACTTGCTTTGTTGTTTCGAAATTTTACATCGACCAACTTCTACATCATTTTACACCTTTGAATCTTATTATGACTACTGCTTGGACAATGAATGTTCCTCCTCCTTTCCTACCTACACCTGGTAAACCTGCATCAATCTGGGAAGATTGGATTCGAATGTTTGACAATTACATTGAAGCCATTGGTGGATTCAAGTATTCTGAATCTAGAAAAAAGGCGTTGCTTTTACATTGCATTGGTGCTGAAGCTCAACGGGTATTTTACACTTTACGTGAGGATGACGAAATCGCTGCAGAGTCAAATCAATTCCTGAAGGCTCGACTTCTTCTTACAAAGAAATACACTACAAAAATTCATGAAATTGCTGCAAGAGTTGCTTTCCGGAAACGCAAACAACTACCTGGAGAAGATGTTGAAGGTTACATACTTGCTTTACGTCAACTCTCATTGAAAGGTTGTAATTTTCAAAATGAAGATGAAGCCATTCGAGACCAATTTGTCGAAAAGACTTCAGTTCGTGGCATTGTTGAAAAATTGGTGGGAAAACCTCACTCTTGACAAAACAATTGAATTTGCCAGAAACATTGAACAATCAAGGTTGGATGCAAAAACTATTGATAATACCAATACAACTACCACTGCTAAAAGTACACAAGGCGTAAATGCTATTACACAGCATAGACCTAAATCGAGATATCAACAAGGTTCCAAGAAGCGTTTAGCTGTGTCTACACATGCGCCTACGCCTACACCTGCTACATCAAGTACAAAACGGCATTGTTTTCGCTGTGGGTCCCTTTCACATCTGGCTAACAGCTCAGACTGTCGTGCTTTTAAAGAAACCTGTCGCAAATGTGGCAAAAAAGGACATTTTAGTTCTGTTTGCATGTCTAAGAACCAAGTGAACCAAGTTCTAGAAACTGACGATGTTTATGTTTTATATCTTACATCTACGTCACCAAAATCACGTACTGATAACTTGATAATGTGTGATATTAAAATGAATGACATTCCGTTGTCTTTAATGGTTGATACTGGCAGTTCGCGCACTCTCATTAATAATGACTTGTACAAGGAATTTTTCTCTGCTATTACACTCGAACCTCCAGCAATAAGATTGAAATCATATTCTTCGGATACAATTGCCACTCTAGGTTGTTTTACTGCTACGGTGAGGCATAGAAATAAGTTGATTTCTTGCATAATCCATGTTGTCCAAAATGGTACTTCACTCATTAGAATGGACTTAATTGAAGCCCTGGATTTACATATGAAGGGTTCATCTTTGATTAATTTAATCGACACTACACCTAATCACTCAAGTACTGATTCTACTAAGATGCCTACTGATTCTACCCAAATGCCTACTGATTCTACACCAGACTTACATTCTGCTACAAACCTACCTACTCATATACTGAATCGGTTTGGTCACATGTTTACACCTGGCCTAGGTACGGTTAAAGGTTATGAACTTAAAGTGAAAATGAAAGATAATGCTACTCCAGTACAATCACGATTACTTCGTCTACCATTTGCTTTACGTCCAGCCGTTGATAAAGAACTGGATCGACTTGAACAAGAAGGCGTCATAGAAGCCATAGATTCAAGCGAATGGATTTCTCCGCTTACTGTTGCTTGGAAAAAATCAGGAAAAATTAGATTATGTGTTGACATGCGCAAAGTCAATGATCAAATGGTTATTGAGAAATTTCCTTTGCCTAAAATTGAAGAACTTCTTTCTGAATTAAAGGGTGTATCCTGGTTTGCTAAAATTGACTTAGCTAGTGCCTATCACCAATTACTACTGTCTAAAGAAAGTAGAGATTTGACTGCTTTTATAAAAATGATGATTCGCTTAACTACACATCTTCAATGTGTTCAAGGCTACTTGGATGATTTAATCGTCTATGGTAAAACTTATGCTGAATATCTATCTAACTTATATGCCTTACTATCAAAATTGGATTCTGTAGGACTGAAATTAAATGATAAATGTGTTTTTGATGTTCGCGAAATTGAGTTTCTAGGACATACTATATCAAGTAATGGTTTGACTCCTTTACCCGAGAAAGCTCGTGCTTTACAAGAAGCCCCTTTACCACAAGACAGTACTGCATTGCAATCATTTCTTGGTCTTGCTGGTTACTTATCAAAATACTGCCCACAGTATAGTACAATTGTTGAACCTTTGAGAGCTATGTTACGCGGTAAATCAAATCCAAAATCATTTGAATGGACTCCAGAAGCATTAGAAAGTTTTGATAAGATCAAAGTAACTATTAGTGATCATATTACTTTATCTATTTTCGATCCCGAATTGCCTACCATTGTAACTTGTGATGCCAGTGACTACGGAATAGGTGGTGTTCTCAGTCAACTTGTTGATGATGAAGAGCGAATTGTAACTTGCGCCCCACGTACTCTCACTACAGCTGAACGAAATTACGCCGTGGGTGAAAAGGAAGCTCTTGCATGTGTCTGGACTTGCCAGCGTTGGAACACTTACCTTTGGGGTCGTCGATTTACCTTACGTACAGATCATAGGGCTCTTACAACTTTGCTTTCTCCAAAAGGAATTGGACGACAATCCATGAGAATTGCTCGTTGGAATGCAAAACTTCTGTATTTTGATTACGACATAGTTTTTGTCACTGGTGAAAGTAATAAAATTGCTGATTTTCTAAGCCGTTCACCATTACAGGATTCAACAGACGAAGATATAGATGATGAAGTAATTTTAGCTTTATTTGATGAAGATGATACTTTGTCAACAAATTTAAATGAACTTTAAGATTTTACAAAGAAGGATCAACTTTTACAACAGGTTATTCAGTACACTACATCACCATGGCCTGCTAAAGATACCGATTTGACACCTGAACTTAAGAAGTTTTATAGACTTAAAGATGAAATTACTTTTTGTAAAAATGTTCTGATGCGAGGTACGCGTGTTGTAGTTCCCATGGCCCTAACACCTAAAGTGTGTAATCTTGCTCATGCCTGCCATCAAGGGATAGTAAGAACTAAACAACGCTAAACAAACAATGGTCAAATATGGACAATCAAGTTGAAAATTTAATTTCTAATTGCGTCGCTTGCCAAACAAGTGATAAAACTGCCAAAACAAACACTGCAGTATTAACACCAATCACTCATCCTTCTAAACCCTGGCAAAAAATTGGTATAGACATTGTTGGACCTGATGAAAGTCAACCCCACACTTTACGTTATGCAATAACTTTGATAGATTATTACAGTAAATGGCTGGAAATTGCTGTAACAGGTGATGTGACAACTACCTCTGTGACTAAATTTTTGGAGACTCTTTTTAGTCGAGAAGGATACCCTGATGAAATTGTTACAGATCATGGAGTACAGTTTGTGTCTCATGAATTTGAAAGATTTCTTCGATCTCGTAATATTAAACATTCTTTAAGTGCTATTTACCATCCGCAATCAAATGGACTTGTGGAGCGTTTTAATCGTAGCTTGAAGGATGCTCTACAAACAGCTAAACGTGATGGTGCTACAGATATAAAGAAAAGTATTCAAGAATTCTTAGCTATATACCGGTGCACGCCTCAAGCTACAACTGGTATATCACCCTCTGAACTGCTTTATGGCCGCAAAATGAGAACTGGACTCGACATTAGTGAATTACATGATTTATCGACTACGCATAATCCACAAACTCTTGCTACCAAAATTGCTCATAAACAATCAAAATGTAAGTCGTATACTGATTTAAAACGCTGCTCAAAACTTTTAAATTTGAATGTGGGAGACAGCGTTCGTGTTCGAAAACCCAATCATGTTCGAAAAGGAGACTTTGATTTTACAACCCCGAGAAAGGTAGTGGCTAAGCCTTATGATAGTGCATATGAACTTGATGATGGCAAAGTGTGGAATCAAGAAAGACTGGCTAAAGCTAGAGTTAGTGAAATACCAATTGAAAATAGAAAACTAACTACTGATGTTCCAGATGAGACTGCTACTTTGAGACGAAGTGACAGATCAGTTCATAAACCAATCTGGCACAAGGACTATCTGTGAACATTTTAATGAGGACTTATTTTAAAGTAATATAATTCACAGTTAGTGAATCCATGTTTCATTTTACCAGCAGTAAGTTTGTACTTTCAAAAAGAGGGGAAGATGTTGTATAGTCAATTCATGTATCATATTATGGCATGTATTTCCTTCCATACATTGTTATGTAAACTCTAGTTAGAGTGATCTCCCTTTGTTGTTAGAGTGTAGACCAAGAAGAGAAAACCACGTTTATTTTGAAACTGCCTTTTGTTATGCTTTCTTCCCATCTTACAAGTACAAATACTATTCAATTATGTATCGAAAGTCCCGATACAACACCTAGGAGTATCTAAATTCATAACTGTAGTACAAACTCCAATGTGAGTTAACACTGCAATTCAATTTGAGTTCACACAAGGACAAAGTTCAATTTTAGTTTCTCCTAGGACAATTTAAAATAGCCCTAGGAGAAAGTCTAATTGGACTTTGTCCTAGGGGGATTTTAAATTCTCCTGTTTCTACTGTGACATATATTGATGAGATCTCGATCAAGTTTGAATTTGGTCATAATTGGATGAATGGTTTTTGAGTTATGGCCCTTGAATTTATTCAATGCGTCTAATATGGCTTGTAGGCCTGATAGAGACTACATTTTTTTTATCCAATCTTGATGAAACTTGGTATGAGATCTTAGTAAAGCTTGAAATTAGTAAAAATCAGATGCTTGGTTTCATATATAAACCTTTATCATTTCTGACAGCTGGTAGTGGGCGTATGTGACCTTGCCTGGCAAGCTATCTTTAAGTGAACGTGATGAGTATCTTAATTGCATGTGAATCGATGATAGTTTTCTTGATCCGATGTCTCTATATTTTGATAAAGTTGTTTTTAACGAAATGGATTTTTTGAATGAAAGAAATGACTTTTTTGGACATTTGTCAGTTTGTTAAAGTCACTAATAGTTATAGGTGCATTTCTATGAATTATTTTATGCAGGAGGCATAAGCGCCTATTTCTTCTACCATACGATAATGGTAACCATGAAGTTTCTGTATACAAACATTGTTTTGGTGTGTATATTGTTGCCCCATTGACTATGTGGGAGGCTTTCAATTGGTTAAGCTCTAACTATTGAGAATTAAGCTCAGTGCAGTCTTCCCAGAGTTCACAGGCATATTCTAAAGTAGGTCAAATGAAACATGTATTCAGATTGTTTAGTGATGATTGCGAAATGATATATTTTGCTTTTCTAAGTTGGCTCAATTTAAATCCTACTTGTTGGATTAGATGATTAGTATGATGATCCCATTTTAAATTAGATCGTAAGTAAAATCCAAGGTGTTTGTGGGAATGTGGGTATGTTGGAAGGGAAACAGATTGTTCTGTTGCCGAAGATCATTAATTCTGTTTTAGAAGTATTAAATGTTACAAGCCATCTGGATGACCACTCATTTATATATTTCAAATCAGTATTAGCATTTGATTCTATTTTATTGATATTAGTGTTGTATCATCTGCAAATAGTCTTGTTGCACTAAGAAGTTTCTCATGTATATCATTAATATAAATAATGAAAAACAATGGTCTAAGTACTGAACTCAGTACTGGGGAACACAGGCATTTGGAAAAGAAAGGCGTTGCCCGTCTTCATAAGCCCACATGGTGCAGAAAAGTAGGACGTAAAACTCCATTCATTTCATTTCCAATCACTAGGAAATACTCCTCGTATAATCAAAGTAAACAGATCGAAAAGTGGAATATAGATTGAATTGCATGTTGCCTTCAATATTCAGTTAATAACTTTACCTGGACCATTGGCTTTAGACATATTTAATTTTCCAATTATTGATTTGATAGAGGTGAGAGAAATGTTTACATCACTACACGCATTGTTGCATTGTGATGAAACTTCCAGAAGAGTAGTCATGTCATTAATACTCAAAAGCAATTGCAAAAAAGTTGTTTAACATTTGAGCTTTGTCTACTGGTTCAGTCACATACTCGCCTGATTGAGATTCTAGGTATGAGATGCCAAATATTTTGTTTGGTTTAATGGAATATGGGAGATATCCTGAAGAGAGTCAGTTTTGCAATTTATATTATATGATATTCCTGTTTGGCGTAGCGTTTCATATTGTTAACCTTATTTCGCGCCTTTTGAAAGACTGTAAAATGATTAGGATTTTGTGATTTTTCAAACTTATGGCGTAGTCTCTTATTTTGATATGTTTCTTAATGTCGCGGTTAAACTAAGGTTTGTCATTGTTTTGCGTGGTTATAGTTTTAGATGGTATGTAAGTGTCCATTAATGACATTATCTTATCTTCAAATTTGTTAGCATTAAAGTCTACTGAGTCATTGACATTGAAAAACAATTCCCAATCTATCGTTTTAATTTCTTCATTCAGGAGTAGAAAATCCGCTCTTTTATATAAATATATCTCTCGTGTATGATTTCTTGCTTTGTATATATTGACATCGAAGTATGCAACTGTTCAATATCAAACATCAATCGAGACTTAATTATTCCTATGATAAGGTTAACCGCAGAAATTAATCTTTTAAAGAAAATAAAATAACTTAGAAACATAGAAAACATATTTACAATATACTCAATGTTTTATTCATTAGAGTAAACTGGACTGTGGGAAGGTGGGGAGTAGTCGATCTGTAAATGCTTACTTGGAAACTTCTGTCAAAAACTCACAGTCCTAGTGACTAAAGTATCTAGTGATATCCGTACTTTGAACTGGCGTTGACTCCATGACAAGACGTTTTTGAACCGGTGAATTTGACAAGTGATCGTGTTATTGGGATCTTAAAGTGCTTTGACTAAATACTTGGTTTAGCGAATTTGACGAGTTGAAATTAACTTCCATATCTTGTACCGGTGAGATTATTGGATCTACTGCGATGGGTTTGATATAAGGTAGCTGATTTTTGTTACCTGTTTTATGTTCTTGTACAACAGATTGAATATCTGTGTCATGGAATACTTTGATAACCTTATCATTTTGTAATTTAGCATGCACAACCCACTCAATGCTCCAGACCTGTTTAACGAAGTCAGATTTATGAGTTTGTGATAATAAAGCATTGTTTATCTGTGTGAGTTCCTCTTTAATAGTCATTCCGCACTACGCCAAGAGCCTTCTCTTCTTTATGACTTCAATTTTAGACTTTCTAGATATGAATTTCACAATAATACCTCTATTTTTTGAGTTTCTCGCATCTTTGACCTGAGAGTGATATTTTCTTTTTTGGTGGTATCTAAAATTTGCCGAATATCACGATTTTCAGCACGGAGATTTTCGTTTCAATTAGATCGATTTTCATATTTTCAAGATATGACTCATTTTGTTTCAATTGAGACATTATCATTTCATTAGTAATAGAGGTTTGATTTTCACCCATAGTGAGTCGATTAATCGTAGTAGAAGAGAACAAGTCAGTTGTTTCAACAGGCCGTCGTTTTTTCTTGATTTGTTTTTTAAAACTGTAAATTGGGTTAGTAGTGCTGTTTATGTTAAACCAAATTTTGTAAACTCAAAAACTGTGTGTGGTCCTTGTACAGGAAATCATGTCCTTATATTAACAGAAGGTGTTACAACTGAGGCAAAATTGGTCATATTGTTGCTGGCTGTCGTCAACCAAAACGAAACAAAGCTGTCTCAAGACCATTTACACTGGATAAATTCCGATCTAAAGGTAAATTTAAAAGTAAATTAAAGAAATCATATGGTAAAGCACATGAGTCTGGATCAGTGTTTGGAGTAAAAGATAGTAATGGTAGTTCTACCAGAAACTTAGATGTTGTCCATCATGAAATTAAAGTAGAAATTTTACCAGTAATTTTACAGTGGATACTGCTGCATCTGTTAAAGTTATTCCAGAAGATTTGTATTTTGAAAAGTTTCCTGATGTATTCAAGCCCTTTGACAATCATTGTATAACTCCTGAGAGTTATGAGAATTTGTGGAGAATATAAAATTTCAGTAAATCGTTATATTGAGGACAGACCTTATCTTTTTCCTAAAACTGAAGAGTTGTACACAACTGGCAGTATTGTATTTAGGCACTTGATAAGTATAATGTACAACCAGCGATTGCCCTTAGATCAAGCATCAAAGAAACTACTGACAATAAACACATCTTTGATTGTTCCAATATCAGAAATAACTGATGTTAGCATTGCACCCGGCCCCGCACCAAGCCCAGTCTTCAAGCATGAATTGGTGCTGGGGCTCAGAGTTTGGACTCAGAAAATTTGAAGATTTAAGGCCCACAGAACTTAATTCTGACAATTTTGCGGTGAAAAAAAACTATCAAAATCTGTATCTTTTTGATTTTGTACTAAGGCACTGTATATGAATCAATCTCTGCTGAACTGAAGAAGGTTTTTGCTGGGGCTTTATTCTCACTTGCTAGGCCCAGCCCTCACAGACTATTTCAAAAAGTTATGGACAAAATTCTTTGTGGACTAGATCAAGTTTATTCTAAAACAGACGATGTTTTAATAAGTGCAACTAGTGGCTATCAGCACAATGAATTTTTAATTGATGTGCTGAGTAGACTTTATGAAATCACTTTAAGTCTTCAGAAGTGTGAATTTGGTGTTTCTAAACTAGAATATTTAGGACATGTTATTGACAAAAATGATTTGCACCCATTACCTAGTAAAGTTCAAGCAATCAGTTATGCTAAGCCTACAAATGTTTCAGTGTTAAGATCATTTCTTGGTGTAGTTCAATTACATTCCCATTTCTTGCCTAATTTATCAACTGTATTGTCTCCATTGTAACATTTGTTAGGTAAAGATGTAGAGTGGAATGGGACTACAGAATGTACTTCAGCTGTTAATTCTTACTAGTAATAGGTTGTTAGTTCATTATATTAATGATAAGAAATTGATTTTAGCGTGTGGCTCATCTCCAGTAGGGATTGGTGCAGTTCTTTCTGTAACGGACAATGGTCAAGGATCGAAAAATATTCAGTATGAGTTATTGCCCTTGTTCTTGAAA